ACCCCAGCACAGGCTACAAAAGACACATCTTTTTTATTGCCTTGTGATAAACCTCCTGGTCTGGAAAATCCTGCCATTATTGTGTGTGTGAACTTTCACCAGCACCGAATCTGTCATTAACCTAGAAGGAGGCCTTTTCATGCTCACAACCTCTGTCTGCACAGCTCCTCTCTGGAGGCAAATCCCTCACAGTGAACACATCAGCTGGCTGCACGCTGCAGACAAGGTTATGACTGCATTACATACTCTGAAAGCAGCAATGCTCTATATTACACTGGGAAAGGTTCATCTTTGAAAACAAAGAGGCTTGAGGAAAAAAAGTGTGATTTTTCTCAGAAAGTGCCTCAGGTCCCCATAAATCCCTCTCCCTCTTGCTCAGACCAGGGCTGGAGGCCAGCAGTGGGGTGGCAGCGGAGCATGCTGCACCCGTGCGACTCCTGCTACAGCCATTTGCAGCAAAGCCTGAGACCACACCGAGTGTGTGTTTAGATTAAAGGACATTTGGGAGGCGACCTTGCCTTAATCTTTCTGCTAAGCACCTAGCAGACTCCCAGCGTGCTAAATCATTAGTAATAACAGTAATGACAATCTAGCCTCCTTCTCCATGAGCAGTGCCTGCAATACAGATTAATAACAATAAAATAGGGACTCGGTCCACGCTCATCCAAAAATACACTGAGGATTGCTAATCAGTCTATTTCCAAGCCCTCTGTTATTTCTGAGTGCCCTGAAGTGCCTTAGCCAGCACTTTGCTGATGCATCCAGCCTGATGACACAAGATGCTAACAACTGACTGGACAAAGGCAGGGTGGCAGGCAGGACTGGAGAGCATCTGACGAGTGTGGTGCTCAGGGAACAGCTCTTGTTCAGGCAATGATTTCTCTGTGTTCAAGTGCTTCTCAGCTCCTCCTCAACTCTCCTTGCATTTCCCAGGTGCATGGATCCTCTCTGTTTGGAAACACTACTCCAGGGAGAGCCCTGTCCTGGCTGCCTCTGAGCTGGGCCGGGCCAGTGGAGACCAAGTGGGACTGCTCCGCTCTCGCCTGCCTCTCACCTTCTTCTCTCGGAAAACTGCTAGCGGCCTCTCTCAGGATGGGGAAAAGGCAGGAGCTGGACCCTGCTCTGATCCAGTACAGCTATTCAATGGCCACTTTCCATCAGTATGGGTTTCTGAGAGGGAAAGCAAACAGCCAAAAGGATTCAAAACAGGTATGTGCTAAGCATTTGTGAATGCACCTTGTGGTTTCCTGCCAACCTGCCCTGCAATCATGTAGAAAATGACCCAAATAGCACACTTGGAGGCAACGAGTGAAGGAGATAGGAAAAAAAAAAAAAAAAAAAAAAAAAAGAGGACTGGCTGCCTGGATCAGAGCAGAGGCGCCTTCTGACCCGCTGCGCAGTGGCAGCCAGGGCTCTCCCTGCAGCAGCTCTGGGATGGCCGAGGCCATGCCTTGGCTTTTTTTCTGCTGGGGTGCCAAGCGGCCCCTCTGTGGTGGCTGGTTCCCGGGGCTCATCTCTGGGGGGGGGGGCTGTGCGGGGCAGAGGAGGGGCAGCTGCTCCATGCGCCAGCCTGTGCTGCCCGGTCAGGCCTTCCCAACACTCTCAGCGTCACAAGCAAAGACACAAAGCGCGTTGCTCTTCTGCCAGGCGCCAGCTCCTGAGTCAGCCCTCCATGCACACCCGGCTCCCGGGGGGTCCCCGCCTCCGGGCGCCGAGGGAGTGGGGGTCCCGCATGCCCGTCCCACAGGCAGCACCTCTCCTGCACCCCGCCGCCGGCTGCCGGTGTTCACTGAGAGCTACCGAGCCAAAGCTGTCTCCGGCGTGCGAGGGTGAACGTTACTCCCAAATCCACAGAGCGCTCTGTGGGTACCTTGCAGACAAACCCTGCTAAATAAATAGATGTTTATACTCCCTTTATTAAAGTGATTAGATCCTGGTTTTTGACTGTGTTGAGTCAATATAACCTGAGTAATTGCATGAGTAACTCATGTTTCCCCTAAAGGGAAACTGTTCTCGTGTAAATATATTTATTAATAATTAAAGTGTTTTTGAGTTCTTGTGCACACAGCCCCTCTCCCCCACAGCGATGTCTGAAAGGCTGTTCTCTTCAAACCTGCGCAGGAGTCAAATGGGAAGGGATTTTGGCAGGGGGGTGATGGTCTATGGCAGGAGGCATGTGGTTTAATTTTGACCTTTTTTTTTTCTTCCTGAACAAAAAAATAGTGGTGAGATCTGCGTATGAGAGATTTAAAAACCTCTACTACTCCATTAGGAGCATTACCCTGAAATACTCACTGGAGCTTCTAACAGCCCAGATAATAGAGGTGGGAAATCATTTCTGGAAAATATTCCCCTCAAAGCATCTTACCAGAGGATTGTTTCCTAACAACAACCACAACAATAAAGTCTTTGTCAAATAATCCTTCAATACCACAAATATTTTGGCTTTAATTGTATCAATACAGATAACTGCTCGGCCTTGGAAATGGGAGTCAGAGCTCCCAGGGGATTTTTTCTGACAAAGCCAGTACTGGATACCTTTGGGTAAGTCACACATTTTTCAATGTTCTTTGGCCTAATTTTTTTTTAACTGACTGTAATCTGGAACCTAATTTGATATGCCTTAAAAAGCCAATTTCACATGGAAGATGCTCTACTATCAGGCTAAGCAGCCATGAGAAATCCTAAAATAGGCAGATTAAGGGTTTGGGATCATGGGGGTTTATTTCTGTGCAATTAAAGATATGATCGTGTTTAAAAATTGCTAACTTGTAGTTTAAAAAAAAAAAAAGGAAAACAACTGGGAGTCCCACATTTAAAAACAGCTAATAACTCTATTAATTAAGGATATGATTAGCAGAGACAATGAGTTAGATAGCACGGAAGCAGAGCATTTAATTCAATGCACATTTTCGGTGGACATGGCGTGGCCAAGGCAGTTGTGTATTAATTAGTGCTCTGAAGAGGGCGAGGAGGACAGGAAGGGGAAGAGGGAAATTGGCAGGTGTAGAAATGAGATTAGACAACAACACAGGATTTTTCTCTCCAGAACATTAGTCGTGCAGAGTCCTCATCAGCCTTGCTAACATGTTTTGTATAAATGAAGATACATGCCATGAGAATGGGCAGGGCAGTAAGGCCCAGCTCAGGGATAGGGAGAGGGACGACAGCTTTCCAGCGCTCGGCTGTGGAGCATTTCCTGGTGGTTGTGACCAAATACCAGCCTCGATCTCCCACCCTCGCTTTAAATGCTGCTGGCTGTTTGTGGATGGCAAGGTGCCTCCACAACTCAACCCTTAAAAGGGGACCTGTGCCATTACACTGATGTAGCTGCATGGTGAAACCAAGCCTATGAGCTTCCCTTTTGCTTTCCTCCACTGCGCGGGTGCTCCGGCTAGGTCTCTGCTCTCAGTGGAAACTCAGGCTTGAGACAAGGATGCTGTGCCCACATCCTATAACCGCTCCGCTTGGCTGTCAGCTCTGCCATTGCTTCGGCTTGAAGCATCCACACAGTGCTGAGAGTACCACGACCGGCGTATCTGCCGTGCACTGGAGCCCACCCGTGCCCCCTCTTGCACGGGGACCTGAATGTGCAGCCCAAGGAGTAGGGTCCCCCCTGCGTGCGCTCTAAGCCTTAACAGCTGTGCCCTGTGTCAGGACGGGGCAACAGAAGGTGAGCGCTGGTCTGGGCAACTGCTCAGGGCTCTTTCCCTTAGACCGCAGGGACAAGGGCTACGTGGGCAAACAAAGGATCTGCTGCAGAGAGCGTGGCCCAGGACAGTCTCCCGTCCCAGGACGGATCCTGACTTTCTCTGTAGAGGCTCACCCAGCAGTGCTCCTCGGTCTTGGAGCGCATTCCGCTCCACGACGAGGGGGCGAGTGCACGTACCCGCGGAGGAGGGAAGAACGGCAGCGGATGTGAACTGACACCTTCACCCACGCAGGTGGGGCGTTCCCACGCCGATAAGGGAGGGTGGATCAGAGGCTGTGCTATCTCGGGGCTGTTCCCCCCGCTGTGGATTCTGGTGGGTGGAATTTGGGAATATCATCACTTCTTTCCCCGTCTCTTTTTTTCCTCCACAGTTAAAAAAGAGCCCGTTGGAGGGCAGAGGAGATGCACAGTCCTATTCCAAACTCCGCTTTTGGCAAGCCGTGCGGGCGAAGCTTCCCGGGGGGTGGAGCCCGGCGGCGGCCCGCGCTTCGCCCCCCGCCCAGTTCCCCGGGGAGCTGTTCCCCCGGGCGAGCGCGCAGGCGGCAGCG